CGGGCCCGTTCTACCCCAGCGCGTTGAGAGCTCTCATCTTCACTCACGTCATTGAAATGGACTTGCTCATCGTCCTCAGCACTTCAACTGCGTATGTTTTCTCCGTCGTCTCGTTTGCCTATCAGGTGGCTGGTCGTCCGCTGCCGACCGGGGAGTTCTTCGAAACCAGCACCTTGCTCGTCACCTTGATCATGCTTGGACGTTGGGTCAGCGCGTTTGCAAGACAGAGGGCAGTGGAGTCGGTCTCCATTAGGTCTCTCCAGGCAGCAACGGCCGTGCTGTGCGACGCAGATGGCCGTGGTGATCAAGAGATCGATGCTCGTCTTTTGCAGTATGGCGACTTGTTCAAAGTCACGCCCGACTCTCGGATCACAACTGACGGTATGATTGTCTCTGGCATGACGGAGGTCGACGAGTCTATGGTGACCGGCGAATCCCTGCCTGTCGAAAAACACCCAGGCTCTGCCGTCATCGCAGGCTCGCTCAACGGCTCAGGTGTCCTCGTTGTCCGCCTGACACATCTCCCTGGCAACAACACGATTAGCACGATTGCGGCCATGGTAGACGAAGCCAAGTTCTCCAAACCGAAGACCCAAGAACTTGTGGACATTGTCGCCAGCTACTTTGTTCCAGTCATCCTGACCCTCACAATCGTAACCTTCGCGATCTGGGTTGCCATTGGCATCTCTGTCCGACACCAAAACAGCGGCCGTGCAGTGGTGAACGCCATCACATACGCGATCTCGGTCCTCATCGTCTCCTGTCCTTGCGCAATCGGCCTGGCCGTTCCCATGGTCGTTGTCATAGCTGGAGGCGTTGCAGCAAAGCATGGTGTTGTCTTCAAGTCAGCAATGGCAATCGAGACTGCCCGCAATGTCTCCCACGTCGTCTTTGATAAGACCGGCACCCTTACTCAAGGTGAACTGTCTGTCGCAGAAGCAGTCTATCTTTCCAACAAGGACGACCTCGTTGAATCCATCACTCTCGGCTTGACCTGCGACAGCAAACACCCCGTCTCCGCCGCAATATCAACTTATCTCAAAGAAAGGGGTGTTGATGCTGCCAAGATTGGAGACTCCAAATCAGTCACCGGTAAAGGCGTGGAAGGCACTTTTGACGGCGCGAACGTTCGCTGCGGCAATACCCGCTGGCTCTCAGCCGAGACTCTCCCAGAGGTCCAAGATCTCCTTGCCAAAGGTCTCACCGTCTTCGGCGTAGCGATAAACGACCAACTCATCGCTGTCTTCGGCCTCTCCGACTGCCTCCGCCCAGACTCCCATTCCGTCGTTACTGAGCTTCAAAAGCGCAACATCGCTATCTCGATAGTCAGCGGCGATGATACTGGTGCCGTCGAAGCTGTTGCTACCAAGCTGGGAATCCCGGCTAGCCATGTGAGATCTAGATGCACGCCTGGCGATAAGCAGGTGTATCTTAAGAACCTGATGACGGATGAGAAGAAAGTTGTTATCTTCTGCGGCGACGGGACTAACGACGCGGTGGCGCTTGCTCAAGCTGACATCGGCGTGCACATGAATAGTGGCAGCGACGTGGCGCAGACTGCTGCCGACGTCGTCCTTGTGCGCCCATACCTGGGTGGGATTTTGGTGCTGCTGGATCTGTCGAAAGCGGCGTTACATCGAATCTTCTTCAATTTCGCCTGGTCATTTGTCTACAATTTGTTCGCTATATTGTTGGCCGCGGGTGCCTTCGTCGACGTGCGGATTCCGCCGCAGTATGCTGGATTGGGTGAGATTGTTAGCGTTGTGCCTGTCATCTTGATTGCGCTACATCTGAGGTGGTTCAAGCGGGAGTATTGAGGTAAAGAATTTCGGCTGATGCTTGTGCTTGTGTCAGCATGAAGTCATATCGTCTTCACACGATCACTGGGAGCGTATCAAACTTTTAGGATAAAATTCATTGCCGCTCTTCCACATGCTGTATGGGTAGGGAGCCATTTTCGCTGTGATAAGATTGTAGCAAGGTCTTTACAATGAGCGATACCGTACTGGTAATTGCTATAGTTAAACTATGGCGCCGATGATTGGAAAGTATTTTAGAGTACACTATCACATATCAGGCAAAGCATGATCCACTTATATCCTTAGCTTCTAGTGTGAGAAAGTTGCAATGTGTCCTTAAAGGGGAGGGCGTTTCGGGAACCACTATAACGGATATATCACTGAAGAATTGACTCGCCGGCCTTGCCATGAGAGCACGTGCTGCAAACTGTATTATGTAATAGTATAGGGGTCCCTGCTTGGTGCCCACGGGTGGTGCACCGGTGCCCGCTTTGCCGTAGATTGGGTCCCCCTTTCCGGCACCTCCACGACCCACCATGCACTTTGACATCTGAAGCACCAATAGCCGCCTTAAACCCTTTTTTCTTGCATATTGCTGAGATTTGCTGACAATATAACAGCCTCCTCGGGCCCGCATTCGGTCCTTTACTATCCTCACTCTAACAACTTCCTAGCTGCCCATATCTGGTTACGTTTTTCCGTCTAGTAAGACAACGATATCACAACACCGCTGAACTTATCCTTATAACACCGAGACAGAACGAAGGGCGATCCCAAAGATTATCAGATCGATATTCCACAAAATTCCAAGATTGTTCATTTGTTGTCTTCAACCATAGACAAAAGTTAGTCGCTCCTATGAGGCAACCCATCCAAGCAGTAGCACAGAAGCGATTGTTGCACCTTCTGCCGGAAGTAAGGCTCATAATTTATCGTTTCGTCCTGGTCCATGACAGTCCTATTTCCCTCACCAAATATTTCGCCCTGGACTGCTCTTTACTTCGGACCTGCCGCCTCTTTAGGCGGGAAGGTATCCCATTATTTTTTGAAAGGAATCGCTTCATCCTACAAACTACCAGTTCTCGGGCGATAAACCGCTTATCCAAGAGACTTAAAGGATATAGAGATCTGATTCGATACATGACCGTGGATTTTCGGTTTGAAAGTCTGAGCCATACCGACCTGATATGGAATCTTATGAGAGCCCAGCAAGAGTCAGGGCCGACACTTGAAGCAGTCTTACTAAAATTTCATTTTCTCCATGCGCTCTCTTTTCAATTGACAATCCCATCCACCTGCCTCCAACATCGGACTCTGATGGAAGAGGCCTTCTGTGCAAGTTTTCGGGCAGGTTGTACAGAATTAACCCGAGAGATGCAGGAGCAGTGTCGTATATTTGGTACTGTCGAAGCGCACTATTTAGATGATGAATCTCTCATGATAACACTCTATCCATCACAAACAAATTCTAATAACTTTTGAGACCCTGCTATAATGATCCCCCCCAAGCTGCTCTAGAGCAAGCTCGAACATGCAATGTCGAAACACCCCTCTTTTTTTGGGTCCCAGTTTTGATTTTACTTATAGGAGGTCCCGAAAATGGTCCCTACTACGACCTTCACTGTTGTGGCTTGATTTATATTGAACCCGAAAGGCTCCGTCTCAAGGTAATCTTAAAGCTCTATCGAACATATTCTAACTAAGTTACTCACTCTCTCAGTCCAAGATGAGAACTTCTTACGTGTTCGCAGTTGGCTTCACGATTACGGCATTCGTTATTTCCGTGCTTTGCCTCTTTGCAGGCTCAAGCAAATCATTCCTTCAGAATGCAGATTTAATGACGGTAGGAGCAAAATTGACTTTCAAAAGAAATCCATCTACTGATAGAATCTAGTTGAACATATCACGAATCGGCCACACCAGTCTATTTAATACTTCCGATGGCGATGGGAGCATCTTAGGCGATCTCGCTAACGACATCCAGGGGGACATCAATAACCTCTTTAACAATGTAGGGTCTGATATTGCTAACGCGCTAGATTTACCTGATTTCTTCCTGATATATCTCACGGGATATTGCAAAGGTATGTATAGGGCTAATGCAACGGTATTGAACCGGCGAAGGAGAATATCGGCTGCTCCAACCACACAGCACTATTTCACTTTAAACCGACCGCGATCATTGATTCTCATCTTCCAAATGGTACCACATTGGAAGATCTTCATTGGCCGACTGGTATCGAGGATACAGAGCGTGCTCTCAACGTAGCTGGCATGGCAATGAGCATATTCTATATCATCGGTATCATATCTGAAAGTGCAGCAATTTTCGCTTCCTTCTGGACAATATGTTTTAAAGGGCGTTTTCCCGGATGCTTTACTCTAGGGGTTCTTTCGGTAGGCTTCAATCCCGTTGTTTTTCCTTCTCCGTTCTAATATCACCGCCCTCTAGCTTGCATTTTTGGCAACCAGTGTTGGATCCGTTATTTCAACTATAATCATCACGAAAGCCGTCGACATTGTTAATAAATATGGGGACCGCATCGGCATTGCGGCGGATAAAGGAACTATGTTCTTAGGCATGACATGGGCGGCAGTGGCAGCCATACTCCTTGCAACTATATTAACAATTATCTAGTCCTGTGGCCAGTACCTGTTTCTGAATCACCACGTGCAATCTAAGCAGAGGAGTCGGAAAGGAGGCCCCTCGCGGGCCGCTTTAATACAGTGTTATTCTGCTTGCTTTATAGCTCTCGTTCTTACTCTTTAGCAATATTTCTGAACACTTTATCCGCCTCACCCGGCAAAGAATCATATCATAATAATCGAAATGCTGTCTCTGGAGACTCTTGTCTTCGAAGAGTATGCAAATGAGATCTTCGAATACCTTATGCGCAAAGAAACCAAGATGCTTCCAGACTCAAGCTATATGGATAAACAACGTGGCCTTGACTGGGGGATGCGAACACAACTAGTGGCGTGGTTGGTCAAGGTTCGAAACCACCTCGGCCTCGATCATGAGGTCTTATATCTGACCGTCAATATTATCGACCGCTCCCTGTCCTTGATGGAAGTAACTCCTGACCGGCTAATGCTTCTTGCAGCTGCATCACTGATCATATCGCTCAAGTATGAGCAACAGGACCCTGACTATTCGATGCAGGACATTATCAAAATTATCGGGCTTGAGCCCGAAAAAGTGCGTCAAGCGGAGCGTATTATCCTTCGGCGGTTAGACTATGACCTTGGTTGGCCAGGGCCAAGTAGTTTCCTACAGAGGATCAACAAAATCAACAACGGAGAGACACAATTAACCGTCTTGGCCCACTACGTCCTGGAAGTAATGTTAAGAGATGAACGATTCGTAAGCAGCTTACCTAGTTTTACAGCTGCAGTTGCATATTGCTTCGCAAGTGAGATATTAGGGCAATCGATATGGGTAAGTCTTCACGAGCTCTGCGGCTTTAAGGCTTCAGTTCTAATGGGACGCTAGACGCCCCAACAGGTCGATCTATTGGGCTATTCTAGAGCGGAACTGGAACCGTTCATCCAAATAATACGAGAGCTATGCCAGAACCCTAGGAAGCATCACCCGGAAACCTTTGAGAGATTCAGTCAAAGATATATAGAGCTGTTCGAGAAAGTCGACAAGAGATTTCAGGCTAGAAGGCTTCAATTACTGAAGGAATGAGACAGATAAGCTAGCTAGATACCTTCAATCAATGTTTAGCCTTCAGGACTAAAGGTATCTATTAAGAGGGAGGAGGGTACGGGCAATGTCAGCTCTGCATTCATGCGGAGGGCATTGTAACCATCCTGCGTGATCACGCATTGACTTTGGGGAGTGGCTCAATGCGGCAACGGTGAAATCGGCAGAGCAAGAAACGCTTGTTCGTCCTGTTGGTCTAACCGCCTTTGGAGGTACCCAGAATTGGGACACCCTATTTCGTCCCGTTGGTCTAACCGCCTTTGGAGGTGGCCCAAAATTGGGACACCCTACTTGAAATATAAGGACAGGTACCACACTCGTATTGTCTGTTCGGCAACGCAATGCGAGAACTTCATCATGCGAGCTTTGATCTCCTCGCGGCGCCTCCGACGGGCTACAAAACCCCACACGCCAAGAATGCCCATCCGAAGTCGTCTGAAGGTCTACCTTGGTCGTTTGTACGATCGGGTATTCTGGCTAGGCTCTGATCCAGAATTCAATCCTCACGTTCCTTTCCACCAAGAACCCCCATCCTACTATTATGGCGGCCGATATCTTAGATTGGCACCGGACATCCATGATGACTCTCGTTCAGATAGCGAAACGTTAACACTCCCATTCGATGACGACGCATACGAAGGCAGTTTCTCAAACGAGACGGAGTCTGAGGTGAAGCTACTACTGGGATGAATACTTCGAGGGGCAATGTGTAAATGTTTTCCAGTGAAATCGGCGATTATACAATTAGCGGTACACGTCTGAATAAGTCTACTTGTCCTTTGGCCTCTAGTTTACCACAACGTACCTGTCACGAAAGGCCCATAACAAGGCCTCCTGGGCAAACCTAAGCCTCCAGAGAAACCGTAGTTTATAATTCTTGGCACTTTAAGCCCTATTGGAAATTGTCATGCTGGCTATTCACATCAGCTTCAGCAAATGCTCTTCTACATCCAACCAATGACATTCAAAAGTAATCTACCTTTTCTCTGCACGGTGGGTAACAACGCCGGTGTATTCGTACGCGCTTTACACCAGAGAGTGACGTAGCCCTCTAGATCCGATATATGACAACTTATACAATCTCAAACCAATCAAGGGGAGGGGCCCAATTGCTAGCCCGTCGAAATCTTTGAGATCCTCACGTCCTTAAAATGGGACCTTCCCCTGGGGCCCTATTTCGAATAAATAAGAACCAAGATCTCTCTAGGCCTCTCGTGTTTGCATGTAAATTCACCTGTTTAGCTGAATAGGGAGACTTCCTTCAAATGGCTAACATAAGACCGAGCAACCTCGAACGACGAAAGTTAAGAGACGAATGCCAGAAGCTTCTTTCAAAACATATTGGTGTGTAAAATGACCTCTGCGGGATGCCACAGCTAACTTGATTCTAAGAGAACAAATTAGGAATTAAAGTGGCCCCGTCGCAGGTCCGTCTCATGCCAAAAGTGTCTGATTTTTATCGATGGAAATTCATTCCATGCGACTCAGAGAGGTCCACAGGAGAAAGCTGTTTCTCTTTGGTGCCTGGCAAGGTCGACCGAGTTGTTGCGACCACAGACACGGTTGAAGATAAAGTTCGGAGCAGGCTAACTGAGCTCTTTTCAAAAAATATAAGCGACCACTCTGCTGGCGCCTATAGAGAATTATGTGAAGGAGTGGATAAGACGTTTGAGGCTGTTCCGTCAATCCTGACCTTGGCAGATGCTTCGAATTCTATCGTCTCGGTATGGAAAAGCAATATCGGAGCTCGAAGAGAATACTATCTAACAATGTATACAGCTACAAATTCCTGAAATCAGCTTCAGTGCGAAAATTGAGCAGCCTGAAAACGACAATGCTCGCCTTTTCCATGAGCTATGCCAGTGGAAAGATAAAGCGACGGCTGAATCTAGACACAGACAACTTGCGGAAGAAGAAGCCTGTCGCCAATATGACTTCATTCAGCAGCTTCAAAATAAGATTCGGGACTATTCTGAAACGGCAAATCGCCTCACAGGCTGCGTTAGGACCTGCTTTCAGGGACTGGACAAAGTCCTCCCCACTCTAGAGGAGCTGAAGTCAGAATTAACTGTGGAAGTTGCCGTAGCTAGATAGATTTGAAGCACGAGTTGAGTGAAAGGACTAGACTTCCACTATAGTACCATGTCATTGCATTCAATTCGTAACAATGCAGGTCAGGTCAGTGGCGATTTCCGATTAGTATCACTCCCTGAATCGCCTTGGATCTCGAAAAGACCAGCCTAAGGCGGGAGCATCAGATCAGGCTCTAAGGCAATCAAACAGGCAAGTGCACAGTATATTTATCCTATCTACTTGTCTAACCCAAATGTCCAAACCCCTAGGATTTATGGTGATGCAGCGCATCAAACTCCGCAACATCGTCGGGATGGACGTTTTCTGGAGGCTCCCAGGTACTTTCATTGTCTGGATAACCAAACCACTTCACTAAATATTGGACTTGTCTTCTGATCTGACGTTTGCCCAGCAATTTCTCGATCTTCCACTGATTGTCTTCTGGATCTATAGCAGCGGGTCGACTGTAACTCAAATCTTGGATACAGGTATGTGATTGCACCACCTCAGCCCGGGGTGGCACGGCGGTGGGAGGGCTTGGGTTCGAGACTAGCATTTCGCAATCACCGCCGACCTCTGCAGAAACTTTCGTGTTCGCACCTAGAGTTAGATCGAGGCTGGAAAATTCGTCCTGTGTAGTGCCTTGAACGTCTGAAACGTCCAGGTCATCAATAGATGAGTCGCCTGTGATCTTGATTAGGCATGCTATACCATAGTTGCTAGTATTCAATACGCACTGCGGGGTCGGGTAAGTATTGGAAACCTCTCACCGGACTTATCGAAAACGTTTGTGAGGTCAACCACCTCGATCTGGTCGAAGTGGGGCGCTGGTCGCGATTGACGGATGATCTCTGGGTCGATCGGCATCGTGACGGCGGCAGCCTCTGACGGGGTGGCCCAGGGAGAGGGACAGTCCTTTCGAGTTTCAGGCATTGCTTCGAACAGGCCACTTGACAGGGATGATAACGAACTGTCGATGCTGAAGCAGTCATCACCAGCATCCCAAACGCTGTCCGCTTGTGATGCGCGGCGTGAAGTGGAACTGCTGATCACCGACAGCGTTTGGATCCCGCCGGGGTGGTTGGGATCAAAGTTCAGGGCTGAGGTGTTAACAAATTTACGGTCGTCTGTATCTTCAGAGGTGTGCCGCTTAGGCCCTGATTTGCGACTAGGTCTTAGTTTTGAGGCTCGCACGTCTGGCAGCATCAGGAGCCGCAAGCTCAGAATTCAGGCTCCGATCTGGCGAATATTGACGCTTTTGTGCGCGGTGCGGCTTGAGAGTACTGTGGATGTCTTCCAGATGGTGCCAAAGGCCGGACTCCGAAAAGAGCACCGTAGAGCATAACAGATGTGGACATGGAAAGTAATCCTCGGTGTCCAGACTCGCGACATATTCTGGGATGCATTCAGATATATGCCGCTGCCAGATCGTTCGATTTGGGTACTGTTTCATCCTCACCGCCGCCGGACGCCCGACTTTGCTGAGACAACCGCAACAATACCCGGTGCAGGCAACAGCGTGGCGGAAAGTGACCGGGTCGCATCGGAAGGGAACGTCGAGATTGTCGATGTGAGTTTGGCAGTGAGTCGGTCTCGTTGGTTATCCAACAGCTGCATCGGAAACAAAACTCGGCGAAACCGAACTGTTTGGTGTGATGGCCTTTGGAGCACCGGTATATATGCTTCCACCTGTCTTTGACGGCGACACTATATTTCACCTGTCAGCAGCTGGAACGATGGCGGTGGTTGGCAAGAATGTCTCTTACTCTTTGATGTTCCGGTTGCAGGAAGGTACTGGACAGGTATCTCCCATGGGCCGTAACTCTTCCTGATATGCAACGCGAAAATCGTTTGCCCGGAGAGCAACAAGGTCTCGGAGGGCAGAGATCCCTTCTGGACTTCGCAGAGGGACAGCGAGCGGTAGAGTCCGGGCCAGGCGGTCACGTTCAGGAACCATGTGGCGGACGACGCGATTGAAATAACTGCGACGCCAGTCCCCGTGGTCATCTGCCTCACTTTGAGTGGTCTGGACTCGCCGTTCAAATTTGCGGTAGTTCCCCAACTCTTCGTCCACCAGCAGCTGTCGCCGATCATAAGCCTGACGCCTCTTAGCCTTCAGTTCTTTACGCTCGTCTTCGGCGATGTCAGCGGTGAGTTGAAGAGAGAGGTTCTCAATTTGTTCGCAAAGGGCGACAAATTTCGGGCGGTGCTTTAGTTAATCCAAACTTTTGCTTGGAATTGACTGCGGGAGATCGGGATGTCTCTTCATTGACGCACTGCGAAAGTCCTCTGTAAGGTCCCGCCGTGGTTCCAGCCCGAGGAAGACAGCGGCACCGTCCACGTTACTTGTATTGTCCAGATAGTGGCCAACAAGAGTTCTTGGGTTTCTGTGCGCGGCGAACTTCATCACCTGTCCAAGCGAGTAGCCTCCATCTGCTGCCGGGTCAGCTTCTCGTACAGTGAATTGGCTCGGTGTAAGATCGCCCTACCGTCTACTTTGATCAGCGCTTCGCGGCGAGAGGCATGTAGTCCCATCCCTCCTGGAAAGCCAGCCCTTTTCGCCCAATCGGAACACTGGTGCCCCATGCGGACTCGTTCTTTACTTTCTTGGTTACTCCATCTGCGGACATCTCGGGAAAGACTGGGTCGTCCAAAACGGCGTCCGCCCACTCCATGATCATAAACCTCCTCCTGGGCGGCGGTCTGGCATCGAGGACCGCCTCGATGGTGTTGTAGTCCTTAAATGCGCCAGCCGAAATAATGACAGCCAATAAAAACAAAAGGCCGTTGACGAGCAAAGGAGGCGTAGGATTCAGTCTCTCGTATAGCGGATGCTTCGGTCTGTATGTCGACGGAAGTGTAAGCAACGGGGATCTAAGCCTGGAAGCGGCCGACATTAACCACTCACTTGTTGGGATTGTCTTGCATGCCTTTTGTGTGTTCTCTTTTGAACCGTATCTTGATCTCCGGCTCTCCGTCTTTCCATGCGACCATGCAGAGAAGGTCCTGTTGGACATTGTTACCACCGACCGCGTTATTCCATCTCCTCTGGCTCAGGATCAGACCTTGTACTTTGCCTTGCAGATTTCTTGTAATCTTGCAGAGGTGTAGCAGTGCATCTTCAATAGGGCACTGCAGTCCACTCGGCTCGCTTCATGGGCGTAATCGTGATGATCGTTCAGCCAGAGGAACTCTTCCATAGCGACATAGTTCTCTATCGTCAAATAGGTGGGTTCTTTCTCCTCGATGGACAGCGGAATTTTGTATCTAAGCACATGTTTGATGTACTTTCTCTCGTCAGCAAATGAAACCACACGTTGGCGCTCTAGCTCAGGAAGCGCTTCAACACACTTACAGGAGCCATCGAGTCATGAACGTCTTTAGGGATGGTAAGGTGAGTCTCCCTCTGCCATTGCGACATGAACTTTCGAATCTTATTCCGTATCGTCTTGACCGTCGCCCGTTTCTTGTTCTTATCCAGGGCCTTTTCCTTGTCCAGCCTACCAGGCGTCGCGCGTCCGACCACTTCGGCGAAGTGTTTCATAACTTCCATGCTGCGAGGATCGGACCCCGGATATTTCCTTTCGTACCTAGTCCTTGTCAGGTTTCTCTCAGACACTCGAGCAAGGCTTCCTGGTGGCATACGCTTTCCAAACCTCCATCATCGCCTCGTACCCGGGTTTAGTGCTCTCAGCAAGTTCTGCATAAACAGGCTTCCCGTCGATCCCCGACCTGTCCCCGGAGAGCCCATCCTCTAATGCCGCCTCTATCTGCTCGTCTGGGTTTAGACCCTTCCAACTTCTTTTCTCGTTCTTGATGCTCATAGTTGATGGCTCCCGAGTGTCCCAAAGACCTATACCTGTGCCAAGAAGGGAAAGAAGAAGCCGTACTAGGAGCCCGGTCAGAGGATGTGAAAAGAGTTAACGAAGATCAAGTCACTCGACAAAAAAGAGAGGGAAGGTACGGAGAGGAGGGGAGGGGAGAATCGACGACAAAGCAGGCAGAAACCCAACGAGACATTGGAAGGGGCAGGGGCACTATTTCTGGGAACCCTCCCTCGCGCCGGAGGCACAAGGCACGTCGTGCGAGGCCCATCACGCTCATGAAGACCGGCTCGTTCTCGCAGGGTCGAGGAGGCAACGTGCCGTGGTGCGTTTCCAGGGAACCCCCCTAGGAGCCTCGTTTTCGGGCCCTCGTTAAAACTTGACAGTCTGGAGGAGGGACGACTTTTGGGCCCCTGCCCCGATGTGGCCAGCAAGGTGAGCTGGCCCAGCCGAGCCTGAGCCGACGTTGAGCCGGACGCGAGCCAGCCTGAGCAAAAGCGGCGCGAGGTCACGTGAGTCAGAAGGTGGCCGGGCGTCGAGATTCCGGTCATAAAACAGTGTTGTTTGTACATGTGAGGCAGACTTGACCCGTCTGTAAGGCTCAACTGGTTGATCAGGTAGGCTTGCTCAATGCATTCGTGCTCAAGAATTGACTAGAGGATCTCAAATCATGCTGTACCTCAGTACAGAATCAGGAAGATCGCCAAATGGGTTCCGTTGGAGGAATGGTTTGTCTCGGGCCCGCTACGTCAGCCGGTACAGATTTCGCCGTATTAGGCTGGAGTTCAGTACTTCTATCAATAGCACCTCAAATATAGTAGCTCTTTACCTTAGCTTTCGGCCATGTGTCGCTAACCAACAAGACCAGGAATGGCCAGTTCGCAATTACTGGCTGTGAAGTGTTTTATTGCTGTCATTTGATTTCTCTCTGCGAAGTTGAAATGCTGGAGCGCTAACAGGCAGCGAGCCAGGCTACGTTTCTCCTCATCTGCCACCCTTTCCTCATCTGCCACCTCTCCTCATCTGCCACCTCTCCTCATCTGCCACCTCTCCTCATCTGCCACCTCTCCTCATCTGCCACCCTTGCTTCATCTGCCACCTCTATCTAGGATTAGACCCATGGTGAGGAAACCATGCTTATATCCAAACTGCCTAAAGTCCACTCGCCGTCGAGAAAAACACGACAATCTACCTCACTACCAATGCCTAGAATGTGAAGCGGTCGCCCCTCGAAAGCTGCAATCGCAACATTGCCATCCATCATTTACCACCCAACCCCTTACACGTCCGCCGACCCCTTCAATCTGTCGAAACAAACCCGAGCCTTGTTGGTGTTCACGATGCCCTATTCAGGAGAGCAAGAATATCACACGTCACAAGAAAACACCACATTATATCTGTGAAACATGTGACTCGGAAGGTGGCAAGAAGGTTTTCATCGGAGAGGTCATTGCTCACAGGCATAAAAGATTCCACCAGGGCCATATTGTCTCTAAGATAAGAGAGGGCGATCGTACTGAGCATACACCCTTGACTTCAGTCAATGTAAGCCCGGAGAATTCGGCGCATAGATTGAACATATGTCTCCAACCAAGATTGAATGACCATACCACGGCAAATGGTGCGCAAGCGAGTGTGGAACTTTCTAGGACAAGAAGTCCCGGTCGGCCTTCGCTGGAGGAGTTAGCTGCGACGTTACGAGAATCACAACGGATTGTCTGTGTCGTAGGTGCAGGTATCTCGACATCTGCAGGAAGTACGCACAAGCCCTATTTGTCGTGCATCCGAGCACTAACATTACCCCAGTTCCTGATTTCCGTTCTGCTCAGGGACTCTTTGTACAGCTTGAGACGGAACATGGCCTTGCTGAAGGCTCAGGCAAGGAGATCCTTTCCGCGTCCGTCTACGAGCATGAAAGCACCACAGCAGCACTGCACAGCTTTGTTCGTAAGTTCACAGAACTCGTTGATGCTGCACGACCTACCCCATTTCATCATTTCTTGGATCGAATTGCGGCCAAAGGCAAACTCCAACGTCTCTTTACAATGAACATCGACGATTTGGACGTCTCAATGCCTAATCTAATCACGAAAAGGCCGCTTCCTTTACATGGCCCTTGGCCGAAAACAATTCAGCTTCACGGTACTATCAGCAAAATGGAATGCACGAAGTGCCATAGGATCAGTGATCTTGATGGGGCTTTATTTGTGGGACCGTCTATGCCTTCATGCCCGCGGTGCAGCAAGCAGACCCGCAAACATGGGCTGAGGCCGCGTTTCACGCTTTACGACGAAAGTGCCAGAGACGATCCTGCTATTGGCAATGCCGAGCAAGAGGATACCAAATCAAGACCAGATCTTGTTCTCGTGGTAGGAACTAGCTTGCAGATTCCTTCTGTCACAAGATTGATTCACAACTTCGGCCACTTCGCCAAAATCCTGTGGATTAACAAAGAGCCACCACCAGAACTTCCTTTCGGCTTAGACTACATATATAGGGCTCCTTGTGATGATTTTGCGAGGTGGATTTCGTCTGAAGTTGAAAGCGACTAGGGGGGACTCTCGATGTTAGGTTGTCAAATTTTAAAGGTCTAAGAGAACTCTCCGTTCATAAAAACACCAATAGAAATCTAAAGGAAGCTTCATATGGGCATTGAATCTACAGTTGATGATATCTCCATGTGAAAAGGATGTAACACTCAGCATGAATTTACCCACTCTTCATATGGGTCACAATTGAATTCTGGGTGCAATATTTCCTACGTTGGAAAACCACGACAACCCTCGTCCCGGACTGCGCAGTTCTCTTTTTCAAGCTCTCTCTCAAGATCCCCAGCCGATGCAAATCCCTTGGTCCAGCATTTCTCGATAATAGAACCCAGCCATACCTCGCTTGTTGACGGAAGTGTTTCCCGTCGAGGCCAAGTCGTCGGATCCCCCACTTGCTGCCAGTCTTCATAGATATCAAACGAACAATGTTGACCAGTTATGATCTCAAACATTACTGCCCCAAATTGTCCAATATCGGTTAGAATAGAAAATCCATATTTATCGCAGCCTTTAAGGTCCCATTCGAGATGCATTAAAGAAGATTCAGAGAAGTCAATGAGCCTGATATTCATATCATCGTCATACACGATATTATCCAGCCGGAAGTCACAGATGATAACACGTTTAGTATGTGCGAAGGCCATAGTACGCGCCAAGTGAAGTAACCAGAAGAGCTGACGAGACCTTTTTAGCCGGATCTCGCCTAGATGCTGCCGTAGGTCGCCATTCATCAACGGCATCTGGATTGAGGGTTCTTCGGAGTCGACGTTATAACAGCGGATAATCCCAGGATGGTCGCCTAGCCTTTTATAGATAGCTTTTTCGTGCTTGAAAGACATGATGGCAACGGCGAGCTCGTTGTAGTTGTCTTCATTGTGGTCCAATATTCTGTCATGAACAGGAACACCATCAATTTCGGACAACTTCGATATCCGGGGGATTTTGAAGGCGTATCCTCCTCGATTGACGACAATGCCTGCACCACCCACTCCAATAATCTCATCTTTCACAATTGTGCCGTCGAGATATAGGTAGTTTGCGATGTCCGATGTCATGAATAGTTGGGTCCGTCTGTATATGAGTCGGGTGGCTAGGTTGGTGGGCGAAGCGCGTAAGAAGGGCTAAACAAGTTGATATTCCGTGGCAAAAGCTTCGATCACGAAATGCCTGCTTAGGGAGAACTCTAGACATAAATGCATTGAGAGGTTGAGCTGAGTTGTTGATTGTCGCTGCTCAACGACGGCCCATTGGCGCACTTTCTTGGCAATGCCCCTGCCCAGATTTAGGTAGCGCATATATTTGTTTTCCTTGCCTCACTTTAACTAACTTGTTATTCTTAATCTACCCCACCTTGCGCCTCTCCTAGAGCTCGTGCTTGCTACTTCCACACATAGACCCATGTCCTTTACTAGAGCCTAGTGGAAGACAAGGCGCGGGCCGGTATATGTACATCGAGAATCTTATCTTAGTCGGGATGATAGTATCTACTAGAGGAGTTGGTACATATAAAGAGGGTCATTGCTCTCTCGTGCGATTCCCTACTCATACAGAACTAAAATTTTTGGCATCGACACCTAAGGATATTCGATTCCAAACCCTTCCGCTTCATCGAGAGAAGGTTAATAACTGGCATACCTCAATTATCTACCATGCCGAATCCAAAAGGTTGTGGCTGCAAGATCGAACACCCTGCCAGGCGACGTTTTCCGGACTGTTCTAAAACACCAAACTCTCAAATTTCGTGCCTCTTGACTCACATCCCCAAAAACAGAACACATGTTTGTAATCGACAGGATGTTCAGAGACACACTTTCGAAAATATTCATCCGGCCTCGTCGACTCGGCGTCACGAAAACTGCTGGAATCATCGCGTCCCGGGAGGTTATTATCACAACGGACAGTTTCATGGCCCATTGTATATGAGAACCGCCTTCTGAAGGCGGTCAGCCATCATTTCGGACGTGTCTTGAGTGCAATGATGCGGCATCAATTGCCACAACGGAATCTTGTGTCGTGAAGAGATTAATGGGACATTCATTGCTGAAAGGAGAATTCTTCCTGTCTCTCACTCCCTCATACGGTTAGCGAAGTACGAACAGAGATATCATCCACTAAGAATTGTTCTTGCGACATGACAAAGTCATGATATACGCAGAGCATTTCTATATCTGGCCCGGCGAGCCGGGCAGGCCTCCAACATCTTGTTGGAATTTAGTGTCCTTCCTCACAATTTCTCCAACTAGTTTACGAGTAGCAAGCGGAGATTCAAGCTTGTCAAGTAACAATAGGGGGCTTGTAGGGGGATGTATTTCTCACAATCACACACTCTTCCACGTCTCTCACACTCTTCCACGTCTCTCACAATCTGCCTTACAACATTATATTGGTCTTTCTAAGGCGCCTACGCTCCTAGATAAGTAGTGCGTACGTAGGCGTCGTATCTGCGAAGGAATGCAATTTCTCAAGAGCTGCGGCGGACCACACGCCAAGCTGCATGATCGCCTCATTATAGTCCCCTCCCGCCTCTTTGACTTCAAGGCCACAACCGAGGAAAAAGGGTGCTTATGTATACGTCTGCCATGTGAAACTCGGTCGAGACGAGTTGAGAAATTGAGAATTGCAGTCCTTTCGCAACTTGGTTGGCACGCCGCGAAGAATATTACTACTCGAAATATTAAGAGATACCTATATTTAGCTATTTTACTAGGGTTTTCCTAAGAAGAAAAAATAAGAGTAGTATTTAACAATATTTTAGTCGTATACTTAAAAGAATTAAAAAAAGAGAATAAATAAATAATGGGGACTCTAGGATTCGAACCTAGGACCTTACCCTCGCTCCCTCGCACCTCCTTAAAGCCTTACTTTGAGGAGGTCGCAAGAGAGATTAGTTGGATATACGCTACCACTGCGCCAAGTCCCCTTTTTCCTTATTTTTATATAAGTTTTAGTCTTTTTATTATAAATACCCTTTTTTTAAATTTAATAAAATATAAAATTTCGTTAAATATAAATATATTATTTTTATTTATATATCTACTTAATTTAAAATATATAAATATAATTAAATTAAATTTACTATTTATATATATAGAGATATTTTAAAAGCCTTAGAAATTAAGGTATAAATATAATTAATTCGATTTAAATTAATTATATTAAGTTTTCCTTAAATTTCTTTCTTTATTAATTATATATTCACTTAATTTAAGATAACTAAATTAACTAAAATTAAATAAGTTATCTATATATATTAAAAGATTTTGAAAAACTAAGGGATTATAATTTAAATATACTTAATTCGATTTATATAATTTAAATTAAAGCTTTCTTAGATTTCTTTCCTTATTAATTATCTATTTACTTGGTTTTAAAAATATAGATATATTAGAATTAAAAATACTATCTATATATATTAATAAATTTTAAAAAACTAAGAATTACATCCCAGATTCTTAGGAGCCGACTTCCTCCTTGGGTGCGCACCTCTTGCCCTTTCGCTCACCCCAATCACACCTCCGGCGCTCTCGCTTCACACCCACCACTCCCCTTGACTCACCCGCAGCTCACCTCGACTCACCCACCACCACGGCGATGATAGGTTCCGGACGGAGGACTCGACAATGCGTGGTTCGAACCGGGTCGCAGCGACGCTGCCTGGCGAGGACCAC